GCCTCTTTTATCCAGCTCTGCGCGCACCTCATCTCCAACTATTTGCATGATAGAAGTGCAAACACGAGGGGTTTCGAGCACACTGATTTCAATGCTTTGTCCGTTTCTTATGTTGCTCAGTTTTATTTTTACAACATTGCATTTCACTTGTTTGGGACCATCAGAACCAAATGTATGTAAATTCAGTGTTTCTTCCCCGATTTTGGGCAGGTTTAGGGCACGGGCGATGTCTTTACGCACGAAGCTGCGTTGGCTTCCTCCATCGAACAGGCAGCGAGTTAGTTGTCTTTTAGCAGTCGTTTCAATCCACACTGTGGCGGTTTGGAGCAGAACAGTTCCTCGTTTTGATTCACTCGGGGATATTGAAATAATTGTGTCTGTTGGATCATTTTCATGTCGGCTTTCGTTGTTGAGGGTGCACATTGATTTAAAGTGACGACGATTACATGTTTCACGATGTATGCCTTTGGTTCGGCAATCTTTGGCAACATGTCTTGTTCCGAAACAAATAAAGCATCTTCCTTTTCCTTTTAATTTTTCACGTTTTTCTGGCACACTCATTTCATTGCATTCCTTTGACACATGATCATTTTTATCACAGAAGAAACACTGGTTGCGTTCATAAAAAGGGCGTTGAAATTGCTGTGTAGAATAAAGGGCTGATGCAGTTGACATTTGATTTGATCTTTTGCGCATTTCCCAATGACTTTGTTGGTCTCCTTCTCGCTCCTTGCGCTCTCGTATGCCTCTTGTCATGTTTGCAGTGCGCTCTCGGCTTTCCACTTCAATCTTTAAAAATTCAATCCATCCATCCATCCATCCATTTTCTTCCGCTTTATCCGTTGCCGGGTCGCGGGGGCAGCAGTCTAAGCAGAGACGCCCAGACTTCCCTATCCACACACACCTCCTCCAGCTCGTCCGGGGGGACCCCAAGGCGTTCCCAGGCCAGCTGAGAGACATAGTCTCTCCAGCGTGTCCTGGGTCTTCCCCGGGGCCTCCTCCCGGTGGGACGTGCCCGGAACACCTCCCCAGGAAGGCGTCCAGGAGGCATCCTGAACAGATGCCCGAGCCACCTCAACTGGTTCCTCTCGACGTGGAGAAGCAGCGGCTCTACTCCGAGCTCCTCCCGTGTGACTGAGCTCCTCACCCTATCTCTAAGGGAGCGCCCAGCCACTCTGCGGAGGAAGCTCATTTCGACCGCTTGTATTCGCGATCTCGTTCTTTCGGTCATTACCCAAAGCTCATGACCATAGGTGAGGGAGGGAACGAAGATTGACCGGTAAATCGAGAGCTTTGCCTTTCGGCTCAGCTCCCTCTTTGCCACAACGGTCCGATACAGAGACCGCATCACTGCGCACGCTGCACCGATCCGCCTGTCAATCTCACGCTCCATTCTTCCCTCACTCGTGAACAAGACCCCGAGATACTTGAACTCCTCCACTTGAGGAAGGACCTCTCCACCCACCTGGAGAGGGCAAGGCACCTTTTTCCGGTCGAGCACCATGACCTCGGATTTGGAGGTGCTGATTCTCATCCCAGCCGCTTCGCACTCGGCTGCAAACCGTCCCAGTGCATGCTGCAGGTCCTGGTTCGTTGGAGCCAACAGGACGACATCATCCGCAAAAAGTAGAGATGAAATCCTGTGGCTCCCGAACCGGACCCCCTCCGGCCCCTGGCTGCGCCTAGAAATTCTGTCCATAAATACAGTGAACAGAACCGGTGACAAAGGGCAGCCTTGGCGGAGGCCAACATGCACCGGGAACAGGTCTGACTTACTGCCGGCAATGCGAACACAGCTCTGGCTCCGGTCATACAGGGATCGGATGGCCCTCAGCAGAGGACCCCCGACCCCGTACTCCCGGAGAACCCCCCAAAGGACACCCCGGGGAACACAGTCGAACGCCTTCTCCAAATCCACAAAGCACATGTGGACAGGTTGGGCGAACTCCCATGAACCCTCGAGTATCCGATGGAGAGTATAGAGCTGGTCCAGTGTTCCGCGACCGGGACGAAAACCACACTGCTCCTCCTGAATCCGAGATTCGACCATCGGACGTAGCCTCCTCTCCAGTACCTTGGAGTAGACCTTACCGGGGAGGCTGAGGAGTGTGATCCCACGATAATTGGAACACACCCTCCGGTCCCCCTTCTTGTAGAGAGGGACCACCACCCCGGTCTGCCACTCCATTGGCACCGCCCCCGATCGCCACGCGATGTTGCAGAGACGTGTCAGCCAAGACAGTCCTACAACATCCAGAGACTTTAGATAGTCAGGACGGATCTCATCCACTCCCGGCGCCTTGCCACCATGGAGGCTGCCAACCACCTTGGTGACCTCGGCCAGGGAGATGGAAGTGTCCGCCCCAACATCCTCAGCCTCTGCCTCCTGAACGGAGGACGTGACGGGGGGATTGAGGAGCACCTCGAAGTATTCCTTCCACCGCCCGACAATATCCTCAGTCGAGGTCAGCAGCCCTCCACCCGCACCATACACGGTGTTGGCAAAGAACTGCTTCCCCCTCCTGAGGCGCCGGACGGTTTGCCAGAACCTCTTCGAGGCCGACCGATAGAGATAGAGAATAAAAATTCAATCAATTCATTAATTTTCCAGACATCGTCCTTTGCAACATCTTTACTGAAATTTAAAATCATTTCCTCAGGGATCAACTTTGTTAAAATAGGACACAGTAAACTGCCGTAAGCCTCAGAAACAACTCCCATCGATGAAAGGCTTCGGATTTGTATTTCACAGTCGTCGTACAGGGTTCTGAGTGCTTTGACATCATTCACATTTTTCACAGGATTTAAATTGAGCAGTTTGGTCATATGGGCATTAATTATTAAATCTTTCCGTCCAAATCTGTTATGGAGTAATTCAGTGGCATTGTCATAGTTGGACTCTGATAAGGACAATCCCGCGACGACGTTGGAAGCTGCACCTGCCAGGTATGACCTTAAATAGCTGAATTTGTCAGTTTTCGTTAGATTTGGATTCTTATGCACGGCGCTCTCAAACTGTTCCCAAAAATATTTCCATTTGCTCACATCACCGTAGAATTTGTCAATCACGAGTTTGGGCAACTTCACATTTTGGTACACAGGCTCTCCGTCATACATTGATGGACTTTCTGGTGGTTCTCTGAGAGCTCTTTTAATCTTTGTTTTCTTGCGTATTATGACTTCTTTGTACTCCTGCGATCTTGACACTTCATTTTCCAATTCCTCTACTGGAATAACACTTTCGACGTCTTCATCCATTTTCGTTAAACACTTTTCTTTATCAATTATGATTTCAAGCATTTCCTCCAGTTTAGCGTGATCAGGACTTTGTTTGCACATTTCTTCATCAATTTTACTTATCACTTTGCTGAGGGAGGTTCGGATGGACGCTCTCTTTTTCTTCAGACGTTCCAGTTCCATCTTGCTTTGTTCGTCCGCGCGGTCCTCTTCTGCAAACTATGGACTTTTCATTGTTGTCCCGGGTTTCGGCACCAAAATGTTGCAGTAATGACCCAAATTACGAACAAACACAAGGCAGGAGTGTCTTTTTTTATTTTATTATAAATTTGACTTCTCTCAGTGAGCACAAGTCATTGTTCATTTATCATTCACACACGTTCAAACAATCACTGATAAAAAGGAAAAAGGGCACCACCCACAGCGGCCATTGGGAGGGGCCGACTGGGAGGAGTGCGTCTCCTGCTGTGAGGAGCGCTCGTTATGAGCGCCTAGATGGTAGCGTGCGGCGCGTTTGGAAAGCCGCAACATGCTGTCCACAAATGGTTCACTTCTTATTTAACAGACAGATCCTTCACGGTAAGTTTGGATACCTGCTCCTCTCAGGTCCATAAAATCACATGTGGTGTGCCCCAGGGTTCCATTTTAGGTCCAGTCCTTTTTAACCTGTACATGCTCCCTCTTGGCGGTGTCGTCAGGAGGCATGGAATTAACTTCCACAGTTATGCAGATGATACACAGCTGTACATCTCCATGTCTCCTGACGACACCAGGCCAATGGATGCTCTTTTTAACTGCATTTTAGACCTGAAATCCTGGATGGCAGAAAACTTTCTCCAGCTTAACCAGGACAAAACTGAGGTTTTAGTCATCGGTCCTGAGGCCCAGAGAGAGAAACTTTTATCAAAACTCCAATCACACTCTTTTAATCTATCATCACAAAGTGAAAAATCTTGGCGTAATCTTTGACTCTGAGCTGACTTTTATTCCTCACATCAAGAGTATCACAAAAATAGGTTTTTATCATCTAAAGAACATCGCCAGAGTCCGCCCCATTCTCTCTCGGGCCAACACGGAGACGCTGATGCATGCTTTTATCACCAGTCGCATTGACTATTGTAATGCCCTGCTCTCTGGTCTTCCCAAAAAGAATATTGCAAGTCTTCAATTACTCCAAAACTCGGCCGCACGTGTCCTGACTAAGACCAGGGGGCGGTTTCATGTCTCCTCTGGGTCCTGTGTCGTCCCCTGTGGCTACGGGCGGCTCTCTGCTCCTGGTGCAGACGGCTCCTTGGATGACGCTTTTTCAGCTGGTTGCATCTGAACCCTGCCAAGTCTCTCATCATGGTTTTATTGTTTTACTGGTGTGTGTGTGTGTGTGTGTGTATGAGTGTTCATGAGCGCGTCTGTGTGTTTGTCTGTGGTTTGGGGTGGGTCTGTTGGGTGGTCTGGGGGAGGGGTCCTGGGTCGGCGGGATTGTTTTTAACTCATTGTGTCCCATTGACGCATAAGTGCGTCAAAGCAAATAGTAACGTGGTGTGCCAATGACGCATTAATACGTCAAATGCCTTTTTCGCTATTTTCATGTTCCCAGATGTCTATTACATCTAATGTGAATGGGGATTACGATTAGAACTTATTTTATTGAGCCAGCAGGTGGCAGCAGCGCTGCGTCTAGATGTTTTGTAAACGGGATACACTTGTTGTGAGATCTGAGCACATGGTGGAGTAGAGCAGACAGACAGAGACAGAGAGAGATCAGTATGGATAAATCAGCGCATTACAAACAGCTCACGCTGGAACAAGTGTTTGGTGGCTCCAAGCAGAGGGGTTCTACAGCTGATAGTGGAGAGGGGGGATCGCGGCAGCCCAAAAAAGCTGCTAAAAAGTGCGCTCCTGCTGCTACTGCGCATGCTAGCGCGCAGCCTGCACCTGGAAGGAGAGGCCGTGTTTTGGCAAGGCGAGATGAGGATGAGAGCAGTTCGGAAGAATTCACTGAGCCAGACCCGGATTCTTCGTCAGAGTGGCTCCCATCTGGGTCTGCAAGCAGCAGAGAGTCCTCCCCTGACGCTTTTACTCGCGCGTCAAGCAGAACCACCGCCAGAGAAGGTAATGCAGACAAATAACATGAGAGAGTATAACATAATATAATTTTGCATTTCTAATGATAATTGTATATTTATTGTATATTTATGATAATTGTATCTATAATTTTGCATTTCTTATGATTATTTTATATTTACAGATTGTGGATCAAGGAAAGCAGCCACACCCAGGAACCCTGCTGTTGATAGAACAGGTAATATATACATATAATATATATAAATATACATAAATATGTGTAATATCTGTAATGTGTATAATCTATAAAATATGTGTAATGTATACAATATGTATAGTATATACGTGGATGCATATATATTTTAATCTTTCCATCTTATCTAAAGCCATAATAAAGGTATCATATTGTATTTTACAGCCTCTACATCGAGCAGTGTCACTGCCAGTGTCACATCTGCCAGTTCAGTTGGTGTGAAGAAGAGAAAAGGTAAAAATGTCTTTCTGCACATCACATCAAAGCACTCAAACAATATTTATGTTCATTCTTTGTATATATTTCAATAATGTATTACAGTTACAAAGAGTAAAGATGGCAGCTGGTCTAGGGATGACTGGAGACCAAAGGTTTTCCCCTTCACCTCCACACCTGGACCCCGGAATGCTGCTGCAGAGCTGGATTCTTCGCTGCCGGCTGACTTCCTGGAGCTGTTCATTACAGATGAGCTGCTCCGTCATATTGTTCAGCAGACAAATCTGTATGCCGAGCAATATTTTCAGGCACACTCAGAGATTGTGCCACACAGCAGAGGGCATGTGTGGAAACCGGTGTCCATCCCTGAGTTGAAAAAATTCTTTGGACTTAGCTTTTTGACCGGGTACATAAAAAAAACCACGCCTGCCGATGTACTGGAGTGTCAACGAGATGGAGGCGACACCATATTTCAATCAGACCATGTCCAGGAACAGGTTCCAAATAATATGGAGGTTCCTCCACTATAACAATAACATGTCTGTTGATGCTATGGACAAGATGTTCAAGGTTCGCCCTGTCTTGGACTACCTTGTCCAAAAGTTCAAGGACATGTTCCAACCTGGGCAGAACATCTGCATTGACGAGGGGATGATGCAGTGGCGAGGACGGCTGTCCTTTAAAGTCTACAACCCCCAGAAGCCAGTCAAATATGGCATAAAATCATATGTCCTGTGTGACTCGGCCTCTGGGTACTGCTTTAACCTGCAGCCTTATGTTGGGGAACCACGTACCCTGCCCGAAATTGTTTTTTCCCTCCTTGATCGTCTCCCAGGTGCTGGACATACATTGTTTATGGACAATTTTTATAATTCCATTTCACTTTGTGAGCAGCTACAGGAGGCAATGTGTGCGGGACACTGAGGAGGAACCGGGGAGAGCCTCAGGTGATCAGGGATGTCACCAAGTCTGACCTGGGTGTGGGGGGGAGGCTTGTGTACCACAACAACAAGGTCATGGTGGTAGCCTGGCAGGACAAAAGGCTGGTCAGGATGGTGACGACCTGTCACCAGGACAACATGGAGAGTGTTGATGTGTGGCAGAGGGGACACCGGGAAAAGGTGACCCAGTTAAAGCCGGAGTGTGTTGTGGCCTACAATGCATCTATGAATGGGGTAGATAGGTTAGACCAGAACATAGCCTACTACCCCTTCGTCAGGAAGTCGCTGAACTGGTCGAAAAAGTTTGTCGCTTATTTGTTCCAAATCTCGATGTATAATGCTTTTATTTTATACAGAGCTAGGAACAGAGAGTGTACGACGCTTTTAGCGTTCATGCGGCAGGTGGTAAAGTCCTGGACCACTAAACCTCATGTAGAGGAGGTGAAGGTGGAGGATGTGGAGGTGGAGGTGGGGAATGTGGAGGAGGAGGAAGTAGGTGTGGAAAGAGAGGCTCCACGTAACCCAAGGGCTCCCTACAAAGAGAGACCCTGAGAGCAGGCGTGATGGAAGGATGGCGAGGCACAAGCTGGAGTACCTTCCCTCCAGCAGTAAGGCTAGACCCTCAAGGAGGTGTAGGGTCTGCGCACGCAAGGGCCTGCGCAGTGAGACCAGGCTGTGGTGCAAGTCCTGTCGTGTCCCTTTACATCCAGGAGAGTGCTTTACCGCCTACCACACCAAACAAAATTACACTGTGTAAACACACACACACACACACACACACACACACACACACACACACACACACACACACACACACACACACACACACACACACACACACACACACACACACACACACACACACACACACACACACACACACACACACACACACACACACACACACACACACACACACACTGTGTATAGCGTTTACTGTATGTATTTTCTAAATGGTTCTTTTTTTGTGAACTTGTATTATACTGTATTTTGCAATCAAAAGCACTTTTATTTTTTGTTTTTGCTGTTTTATTTATAGGAACAATGTTCACAAGTTCAAAAAATGACAAAAGTAAAACATCTTTTTGTCAAAGTCACTTTTTCTGCATGGTGTGGTCATTTTCACATAAGTGTCTTTTTCTCAGCTTTTTGTCTGAGACTGGTGATTTCAGTAAAACTTCCCTTCACTCGACTGGGGATAACAGGGGAACAAAACAAGCTAGAAACAAATGAAAGTATGCTGATGAAAGTAGACAGTCCAATCTTTCAGAATCTGGTTTCGGATTTCAGATAGTCATAGTACACAATATTCTGTGGGTCTTGAAAAATCAGTAAAAATCATCAGAAATGGCTGGCACTGTGGGAGTACCTGTTCTGAAATAGGCTGGCATTCAATGAGTTAACCAAACTGTAAAGCACTTTGTGTTGCATCTTTTGTATGAAAAGCGCTTTATAAATAAAATGTGATTGATTGATTGATTGATAAATCATGGCCTCAAACTGAGGGAAACAGAGAATCCAGACAAGGTCCTTCAGGACCTTCAGTTGGAAACATGTTTCCAACGCTCTACAGCAGACTGTACCTACAGTATTTACAGTAGTTTACTGTATCACATGTACTGTTTTGCAAGTTGGCTATTGCTCCTTTTGAAAATAAATTAGTTTTGTGAAACATACAAGACAGTAAAGTACATAAAACTAAACCTATAGTAACAATTTGTGGTTTCATATTTATACAAAATGACTAAAAGAACATCTGGAGGTGGTCGGCAACTGTTCACCAACAACAGGAACTTGCATTTGTGGAAATAGACCATGAACCATGATCCATAATCCACACACACACAATTGCTTAGTTTTACATTAGAGTTTTTTTGTATACCGTAGTATTGTGATATACAGTATACTATAGTACTGTGATATACAGTATACAGTAGTACTGTGATGTAAAGTATACAGTAATACTGTGATGTACCGTATTTACTGTAGTACTGTGATGTACAGTATATACTGTAGTACTGTACTGTACAGTATATACTGTAGTACTGTACTGTACAGTATACTGTAATGCTGTACTGTAAAGTATACTGTAGTACTGTACTGTATTGAGTTATTTGTAACCTTTCAGTACTACTGAGAACCAAAACAGTTCAATTGAGCTTCACAGAAAACTGACTGATGAACAGAAAAAAAACAGTGAAAATGACTGTAGTGTTTTATATAAAGTACTGTAGTGTGTTGCTTCCAATCTGAAAGTGTGTTCACGTGATGCAAGTGTGTGTCATTTTGTCCTCAGAGTTTCATTTTGACGAATTATTGTTTAATTTTGAGAGCAGAGTTTGAGTTTTGATAAAGGAGTTTCATTTTGACCCAGATGTGTTTGGTTTATGTCCCAGTGTTGTGTCAGGTCATCGTGTGTGTAGAGTTTTGGGACTATGAGCGAAATTTTGCAAACTGTGTTCAAGCAACAGGAAAAAACTGTAAGTTCGGTACCGCAGCTTTAATAGATGCAGTTTGTCATTACAGCTTTAAACATTAGAGGGCGCTGTGAGGCCGTCAGCCGCAGAAGAGCACAGGACCAGGAACAGGAACAGGAGCTGGAACAGGAACAGGAGCTGTGTCAGGACCATGGATTTGTTGTATTAACCAGGACCAGGACCTCGGTGTAACCCTGGTCCCACACAGGGGCCTGGTCCCGGGCAGAGACATGAGCGTTCGGGGCCTGTACCTCCCGCTGCTGTCCCTCCCGCTGCTGGCCTTGGGTCTGGGTGAGTGTTTACTTTCACTTTCGCGTAGCGTCTGATTTCTATGTATTCTTCAAGAATTCTTCTATAGCCCTAAATCACAACTGTAGTTATCTCGTAAGACTTTACAAAGTTGTCGATTCGCCATCACAGATCAGAGAATCAAACAATGAAACACTGAGACTAATGTCCAGAAATGTTGTTGAAATTGAATGTCTCTTTGCGTCACAATAAGACTCTAAACCACAGACTCTAAACCACAGACTCTAAACCACAGACTCTAAACCACAGACTCTAAACCACAGACTCTAAACCACAGACTCTAAACCACAGACTCTAAACCACAGACTCTAAACCACAGACTCTGAACGACACTCTAAACTAGAAGAACCTCCCGCCTTGGGGGAGAACAAAGAACTGTATGAATAAAGTTCACGATGAATGTCAATTTAAAGAACCAAACCCATTAGCACTAGGTCAGGTCAGAAGTCAGAAGTCAGGGGTCAGAGGTCAGGGGTCAGGAGGCTTCATAACAGTAGTCTGTCTGTGCAGGTTTGCTGGTTCCTCCTCCTCACGATGTGACTGTCAGAGCCGTGAACACCAACTACTGCCTGGTCTGGAACTGGACGGGGCCAGAAGGACATGAGGTCTCCTTCACTACACAGTACATCGGGTCAGTGCCCTGGGGCTCCTGGGGTGGGCTCTCCTGGGGTGGGCTCTCCTGGGGGCTCTCCTGGAGTGGGCTCTCCTGGGCTGGGGTCTCCTACAACAATGATTTAGTTATTTATCATTTAGTTCAAATACACATGGGTCTGGATCTCTGAAGCAATCAGACATTTTCTGTGTCGTGGGCGGAGACATGAGCAGCTCTCGTCCAATCACAACGCAGCTCTTAGCCTCTGCTCAGGTTTGACCAGTGGAGGCGGGTCCCGGCTCAAAAGTGGCCAAAATGACGTGGGCTGACATGCTTGCAATACCACCCCGGGCCGATGGGGGTGGACCCGGTATAAGAATTAGCCAATGCTAACATATAGCATCTTCTTACCTCTCGAAAACATTTTTACAGGATGGTCCAGAAGTTGGCTCTTGGCTCAAAGCTCCGTTCCACATGTGTGTCAATGCTGAGGGGAGTGAATTTTTTTGGACCAGTCTAGTTTACTCGCTGTGAATTTTTGAAATCATTAAGGCGCGTTCAGACCAAAAGCTTCAAAAAGCTTTTGACGCGCTTCAACTGACGCCGGGATAGTTTTGTCATTTTGGTGCTTGAAGCTTTTGACGCGAGTGACGCGCCTGACGCCGGTGGGAGGAGCTTCTCTGTTGTCTGTAGTCAGGACAGCGGTGGATTTTTCAATGAGCAGCGAGCCTTTATTTGTTATATAAAGCAAAATAACGTTGTTGTAGGGCTTCAACAAAACATGTTCTGGATTCACCACAGACTTGAGAGGCTGCAGTGTTTGCAGAGTTCCGTCATTTACTCCCGGAGCTGCGTACGGAGGAGTTTCGCTTTCAGCGATACTTCCACATGTCACTCGCCCAGTCTGAGTTCTCAAACCCCGGAGCTCGCCTCTCCCCGCCTCGCTCTCGCCTCTCCCTGCCTCTCCCCGCCTCGCTCTCGCCTCTCCCTGCCTCTCCCCGCCTCGCTCTCGCCTCTCCCCGGCTCTCCCTCGCCTCTCCCTGCCTCTCCCTGCCTCTCCCTGCCTCTCCCTGCCTCTCCCTGCCTCTCCCTGCCTCTCCCTGCCTCTCCCTGCCTCTCCCTGCCTCTCCCCGGCTCTCCCTCGCCTCTCCCTGCCTCTCCCTGCCTCTCCCTGCCTCTCCCCGGCTCTAGCTCGCCTCTCCCTGCCTCTCCCCGGCTCTCGCCCGCCCGGAGCTGCCTTGCTCTGAGCCAGACTCATCGTCAGCCTGTTCTTATTTTAAATAAACTACGTTTACTACACAGCATGTGTACAATGATTTTTGTTACTCAGAACATTACTACTCATACAAATAATATTACTAATAACAATAATGACAATAAAACAGCAGCAGCAGATACATGACTTCTCTTCATGACAGAGACAGACCCTCTGCTGCTGCTGCTCCTCGTCTCCTGATTGGTTGAAGCCCGCGTCAAAGCTTCAAAAGCTCAGCTCAGCTTTGCTCAGCTTTGGTCAGCTTCGGCGTCAAAGGGATTGTTGTGATACGCGAGCGTTTCGCGCGTCAAAAGCTTAGAGTGAGCGCGTATTACGCGCGACCTTTGAAGCTTTTGACGCGCGCCAAGTGACGCCGGGCCCCTTGGCTTCACCTGACGCGCTTCCCCATTCACTTTCAATGCAAACCTGACGCTTTTGACGCCGAAGTTAAGTCCGGTGTGAACGCCCCTTTAGTTTGAATTAATGGGGCTTTTGCCGGCTGACGCATGCGCAGATGCGTTTTTTCACAATTTTCTTGTGGGCGGGACCACTCGCTGCCATTTTGGATAGCTCCAGTAGAGCACTAGTTTTGGCCCATTTATTTGAACAGCGGAGATAGGCGTGACTACGTCCGTTAATATTTACAGTCTATTGGTTTGAAACAAGAACCAGAGAAAAGAAGTATGCATAAAAACAGTTCTAACTGTTAAAGGCTTCTGAAAGCTCCGCTCTCTTTATCACATAGTTTGGATCATTATTGACCTCTGACCTCAGCCTCCATCTTGACAGGAAATTCAAGTTAAATAGGCCTAATGACCCAAAGTGGTGGCCGGCGTGTGATGGGAGCCCCCTCATGACCTGCGACCTCAACCCTCTGAAGCTGCATTATTTGGGCATCTACTGTCTGCGCGTCCGAGCGGCTGTGGGCGGAGTCTTTTCCCCGTGGCGCCACGTGGAATTCACCCCGGGAGAAGACGGTGAGAAACTGTCGTTTCAACTCTCCTCGACCCGGGTCTCACTCTAGGTCTCACTCTAGGTCTCACTCTAGGTCTCACTCTAGGTCTCACTCTAGGTCTCACTCTAGGTCTCTCTCTGGGTCTCTTTCTGGGTCTCACTCTAGGTCTCACTCTAGGTCTCACTCTTGGTCTCACTCTTGGTCTCACTCTTGGTCTCACTCTTGGTCTCACTCTAGGTCTCACTCTAGGTCTCACTCTAGGTCTCACTCTAGGTCTCACTCTAGGTCTCACTCTAGGTCTCACTCTAGGTCTCACTCTAGGTCTCTCTCTGGGTCTCACTCTAAGTCTCTCTCTGGGTCTCTCTCGGGGTCTCACTCTTGGTCTCACTCTAGGTCTCACTCTAGGTCTCACTCTAGGTCTCACTCTAGGTCTCACTCTAGGTCTCTCTCTGGGTCTCTCTCTAGGTCTCACTCTAGGTCTCACTCTAGGTCTCACTCTAGGTCTCACTCTAGGTCTCACTCTAGTTCTCACTCTAGGTCTTACTCTAGGTCTCTCTCTGGGTCTCTCCTTCTGGGCACCATGTAACATGACCATGTGACATCACCTGTTCCAGCTGCAGTGGGACCTCCCTCCAGAGTGACGGTGTCCGCTGCAGGAGCAGGTTTGGAGGTGTCCGTCCTGGAGCCTCAGACCAACAACAACACGTCCATGAAGGAGCACATCCCATTTCTGTCCTTTCGCTACACCTTCTGGGAGCAGCAGCCTCAGTCTGTGCTAGCCTCCACCCACACGGGACAGCAGCCTCAGGTCTGTGCTAATCTCCACCCACAGGGGGCAGCAGCCTCAGGTCTTTGCTAGTCTCCACCCACAGATTCAGATTCAGTTTATTTGCCATTTGCAGTAAAAAAACCACATTGGAATACATTAGCAAAAAGTCTCCAGTGAGCACAGACAAATACAGACATAAAACAACATTAAAAGACAGAAATAAAAAAAATAAAACAGTAAACAAATGTCACTGTGAAATCGATCGACTAAAACAGTTTCAAAACAAGTGCAAATCATTAAAGTGCTCTGTTCACACTGATAACAGCTTGTGGATAAAAACTGTTAGCGTAACGAGATGTCCTGCATCTCAGAGAGCAATATCTTCTGCCAGAGGGAAGAAGCTGGAACATGGCTTTCCCAGGGTGGCCAGAAGAGTCATTAACAATCCTAAGAGCTTTGTTTAAAAGTCTGGATTTATAAAGAACCTCCAGAACAGGAAGCTCATAGCCCACGGTCCTCTTTGCAGAGCGGAGCACCTTGATTAACGCTCTCTTTTCTTTATCTGTGATGTTTCCAAACCACACAGACACAGAACCAACAAGTAAACTCTCAATGGTGCAGCGATAAAAGTTAAGCAGAATCTTAGAGTTAGTGGTAAATTCTCTACGTTTGCGCAGAAAGTAGAGACGCTAACAAGCTTTCTTAACGACTCGGTCAGTGTTTTTAACCCATTTCAGGTCGTTAGACAGAGTTAAACCCAGAAAATTGCACTCCTCTACGATCTGCACCTGGGAGTTGTCGATAACGACAGGCAAATGAGAACTATTGCGACTGAAGTTGTAGACCAGTTCACATGTTTTCGATGCGTTCAACTGGAGGTTGTTAGTTTTACTCCACTGAACCACATTTTTTATCTCTGCTCTATAAGAGGATTCATCAGTGTCACTGATGAGACCGATAATGGTGGTGTCATCAGCATATTTTATGATCAAGTTTGAGTCAGAGGAGGACACACAATCATCAGTGTACAAAGTAAAAAGCAAAGGACTCAAAATTACATCCCTGAGGAGAACCAGTGCTCACAGAAACAACATCAGAAAAACACTCATTGATTTTCACTCTCTGAGATCTATCATTTAAAAAGCTAAAAATCCATTTACACATGGCAACACTTAAACCGAGAGACATGAGCTTTTCAATCAGTTTACCTGGGACAAGGCAGTTAAAAGCAGAGCTATAATCAATGAAAAGCATTCTCGCAACAGATTTACTAGTGTCCAAGTGACTGTAGACAGAGTTTAGAGCAAAGGAGATGGCATCCTCCACACTCCTGTTCTGTCTGTAAGCAAACTGGAGCGGGTCAACACTCACAGGGATCTGGCTCTTAATGAAGTCCAGCACAAGCCGCTCAAAAGTTTTCATAAGAACAGACCTGAGGACTCTTTAAAGCAGTTCGGCACAGTACAGTTCCTTAGCAACAGGTTGAAAATGTGTGTTAGCACAGGGGCAAGTTGCTCATAGCACAGTTTCTTTCCGGCTTTCCGGACTATGGTCCTGGACAAGACACGCCTGACTTCCTCCTGAGTCACGGTGAAGGCAACTTGATTGAAACACTCAGGGAATACAGTAGGACACAGGGGGCAGCAGCCTCAGGTCTGTGCTAATCTCCACCCACAGGGGGCAGCAGCCTCAGGTCTGTGCTAATCTCCACCCACAGGGGGCAGCAGTCTCAGGTCTGTTATAGTCTCTACTCACAGGGGGCAGCACTCACGCTTGTGCAAAGCAGAGCCATAGAAAGACAAATATATAACTCTTACAATGAAGAAACGGTTGAAGTGCGTTCAGTCTGATGACAAGTCTTTCATCCTCAGTGATCCAAGACCTCCAACCAAGAGGTCCTCATGGGTTCCAGAGGTCCTCAGGGTTAGGGTCCTGTGACTGAACCATGACGTTATGTTCTCCTGCAGATGTTCCATGTGGACAGTGATAAGACTGTGGTGGTTCTAGAAAACCTGAAGTCCTGGACCGTGTTCTGTGTGAAGGTCAAGTCCAGAACCACTAACCCCAACAGGACCAGCCGCTACAGCCCCCCCCACTGCCTCAGCACCAATGGTAACTCCCCCCCGCCTCAGCAGAAATATAGGGAGAATCCCAGCACGAAAGAGAATGTAACCCTGTCCCTGTGTCTCTTTGTCCCTGTCCCTTTGTCCCCTGCAGGTTCTCTTCACTGGTGGCAGGTGGCTCTGATCTTCTTGTCGTCCCTGTGTGTTGCACTCTTACTCGGGTTGGGCCTCGTCTTGGGAGGTTTCCAGGCCAACAGAGTCTTCAAACAGAGCTGCCTCTACAAGGCCACGCCCCCTGACTTCCTGAAGGAGGTAAGACGCTCCTCTCTGAAACCACGCCGCCTCTCTTAGACCACCCCTCCTCTCTAATTCACAGATGTTTCTTCAGTTCCAGGTTTCTCCCGAGCCCCTGTGTCCCGACTTTGACTCCGAGCTCAAGTGTGACCTGCTCACACTCACCTCCCCCCAGGAGACCTGCAGGTGACCCTCACATTTCTACCACATACGGATAGACCACGTGTTTAACTTTATTATTATTATTATAGATTCAGAACATAGCACTTTATCGCAAGAATTCTTACGCTAGATTTCTCATCTTCTGTCAGTGTGCCCCAGGGCAGCTGTGGCTACAGCAATAGTTTATCACCACTGTGTATGTAATGAAAGAATAACAACATGTGAAGCGCTATATAAAACTAATGCATTATTATTATTAACCCCAGAGCACAGGGCCTTCTCTGTGGTCTTAAACCCAGATTGTAAATGTGCCAAATAAATAAAGTGGGATTGGATTAAACCTGTTTTGCTGCTTGTGTTGTAGAAACAGTGTAAGTGACGACTCAGGCGTGGACTCGGGCGTGGACTCGGGCCGTGTTCTGCTCACGACTCAGGAGCTCTGAGACCGGACCTGTCAAACTTTCCAGATCAAACTTTAAAGCCCTCGGCAGCTGCACAGACCTCGTCCTCAGCCACGGCGATCCAAGATGGCGATGTATTCAAATCAATGGCTTGTGCTCAGAGGCGAAAGATTAGCGGCGCAGTGGACATCCTCCCATAATGCTTAGTAATACCCTATCCAGTTATTATAGATCCATGCTGTCTGTAGAATCCTCCAAAGGCTCCTCAGGGTCCTGAAGAGCACCAACCCTGACCCTACAGAAGCACAGGATCTCGCTGACTTCGGGATTTGGCGTCTGCTGGATGTTTTTGATGATGGGAGGAACCAGAGCGCAGGTGGAAGTCACACAGACACAGGTAGAACATGCGAACTCCAAAGAAAAAAGACCGGAATCGTGAGGCCCGAGTGCTCCCCTCCGTTTGTGCCTTTGGTCCAGGAGCCTCAGAACCCTGGTCCCTCTCTGTTTCACACTTTACCACTAGCTGTTTTGAATTTTTTTGTGGGACATTTGTTGTTTTCCAGTGTTTTTCTCTCGTGTGTTTACTCCAACATCATTTACTCGCTACGATAACATGACGCCATCTCTGTGTGGAGTGAGAGGACAAGTGCCCAAAAATAACAATTGTAAACCGCTTTGTGACTCTGGTCTGTGAAAAGCGGTATATAAATAAACATTACTTACTTACTTAGAAAATGTTTGTGGCTTGTGTGATGAGTTCAGAAGACTTCCGCGTTCTTCTTGTAGCCCTCTGGTCTCTCTATGGACTCTCTTTGGTCTCTCTCTGGTTTCTTTCTGGTTTCTTTCTAGTCTTTCTCTGGTCTCATGCTGGTCTCCCTCTGGTCCCTCTCTTGTCTCTCTCTGGTCCCTCTCTGGTCTCTCTCTGGTCCCTCTCTGGTCTCTTGTTGTGAGTTCAGGAGGTAAAAATAGTGTTAAATTGTGATGTTTTTACAGCTGCTTTTAAGGAGTTACCTTTTTGTGCAGTATCCTTAGAACACATCACCCCTGTCATAAACACATGTTTAGTGTTAAACTTTAAAGCTGGGGTACCTAACTTTCCAAGCATCAAAGAGTTTTGATCTAATCTTGATTGTAATAAACTCAGCACAAACATCACTTTATTAAACTGAATCATTCATTCTAATCTAATCATCAAAACGTACTCAAACTTGAGCCAAGAGGAAAAAGTCTGGTCTCTGCTCTGAGGACTGGTCCCGGTCTCTCTCTGGGCTCAGGACTCTGTTGTATGAATGTATGTTTGTTTTTATTATAAATATATTTTTGGTAACTAAGTGCATTGTCTGTGTTTTGTACAGTCTGTCAATAAATACAATAAAACTGCTCTTTCTGCTGTTGCTATGGAAATAAACGACTGGTATCCAGGGGCTTCTCTTCTCTTCAGGTTTAATTTGAAGTGGCGCCACCTGCAGGTGAAACCCACATCCCGTCAGAGCTCTGAGGCTGTGCAGGGCAGGGCCTGGTTAGTACTGGGATGGGAGACCTGGGAACACCAGGTTGCGGGTTTAAAGTGCCAAACTGTGGTTGTGTCCTTAGGCAAGGCACTTCCCCCACATTAGAATGAGTCTGGTGTTAATGGTTAGTGGTGGTGGGAGGGGCTAATGGCACAGACTGGATGCCTAACTTCTGTCAGTGTGCCCTTAAAGTGATAGTCTGGAACTCTAAATTAACTCATTGACAAATGTGTTAACACGTCAATTGCGTGTCCCGCTATTTTTACGTTCCCAGATGTCTATTGTATCTAATATGTATGGGGATGGCTTGAGACCATATTTTATCTAGTCAGCAGGGGGCAGCATTTCTCTATGAATGGTTTGAAAACAGTTAGGTGCACATGTGGTGCCTCTTTTTTCTCAGCTTTCTGGTGATTTCAGTAAAACTTCCCTCTACTCAACTGGGGATTACAGGGGAACGAAACAAGCTAGAAACAATTTTTTTGTTGATGAAAGTAGACAGCCTATTCTTTCAGAATCTGGTATTGGATTTCAGATAGTAGTACACAATATTCTGTGGGTCTTGAAAAATCAGTAAAAATCATCAGAAATGGCTGGCAATATGGGAGTACCTGTTCTGAAATAGGCTGGCAGTCAATGAGTTAATTACAAATTTTAAGAATTTTATTAAATTGACCTGGCCTTAAATGTTGATATATAGTACGTAATTTTATGAATTCTAATATTACGGGTAAGTCCCGCCTTCCCTTCTCTTAGACAGCCCTTAATATTCGGCGCTGTAATGGCATTATCTTTTGTAAATGATATAAATAAAATGGTTAGTTTCCAAAGGTTTCACTAGCTAACAAACTAGAACTCTCTGGAACAACATGAAAAGTGAACATCAGTGGTGAGTGACCCAAAAAAAAAGCTAATTCCATAATCAGATCCTCTGCAAATGTGTCCTAAAGTGTTCTACTAATGTTATTAGTGACTTTTGGGTTTATCACGATCAATTTTTGACTCAATAAAACAGTATTTTTGTTATGAAAATGTGAACAGATCATTCTGAAAACTTCCGTGCACGTGTCTTAAGAATGTATATGTATAATGTATTCTCCGTTGTTGAGTGTGGCTAGCTTCGATAGCTTCTCTCACACAAATAGAAGTAATAAGTGACAGGCGCTGAAAGCCCGTTGTGACTAAGAATACGAATTACTATATCCGGAGTAATCTTAGTATTTTACACATCTGAAGTACAAGAGTGTGTTGCCAAAATGCAGTGGCCATTATTGGTTGGAGAGTCTTATCAAGAAATAATGATCGGTTTGAAATACATTCAAATCAATGGAGCATTCTACTGCTGCTGTGAGTAGCTATATAATAAATTATGATTAAATATTTGAATATGTAAATCAATAATCTCTCCTCTGCAGGTCTTGGCCCATTGACCAGGTGCGTGCACGGAAAAGTAGGTGCGGCTTCAAGACCAATCAGAAAGGAAGGGGGAGGGAGCTTGCCTTGGGTCGTTTTTTTCAAATCATGTACCTCTCTCTCTTTTTTCAGACAAACTCCAGACAATCACTTTAAGGCAGCTGTGGCTAGAGTAGTAGTTTATCACCACCGTGTTTGGAGTGAAAGAATAATGACATCTGAAGTGAGTGTCCAAAGAAGCACTGTATAAAACCGATGCATTATTATTTCGTGTTGCGTTTGTAATTCTGAAGAGACTGTTACTGTGTGTGTCTGTGACCCCTGACCCCTGGGGAGGGGGGGGGGGCAAAGAGGGAGGAGCAGAGGGGGAGTAGCAGAGGGGGAGGAGCAGAGGGGGAGGAGAAGAGCGGGATGTCTCAAAGAGGCCCAGTCCCAATACTCGCACTTCCACCCTCGCGCCCCTCATTTGCGCGTTCCCGATGATGGGTGCGAGTGCGTAGCGTGTCCCAATTCTCCAGGGAGGTCTTTGGCCGTAGCCTGCATCTAAGCGGACTCTGGCGAAGGATATTGCCCATAATTCTTTGCGGTACACACCAAAACGTAGGGAAAATGCATTTAAATGTAAGTTTTGAAATATATATGCTGTATGTGTGTAAATAAATTTTGCTATGTTACTTGGATAGAAGCATAAATGACTAATTGAAGAATTACGGACATTCTATGCTAACAATTTAATACTTTTTTCAATGCAAGCTTTCATATAACATTCAATTTAAATTTTACACTTAGTACAATAAACTTAGGATGTATAAAAACGTATCAGATAACAGTTAGTTACCCACATTTAACTTAAAAATATACAGCTATCTCAAATTACAAATAACCATTATACATGTATTTTAACGTGTGTGGAGCAACTCATTTTGTTTCCCACAGGGTCAGACCAAATTACCTTTAATTTTTATAAAGTTTAGGTCTGAAAATGACCATCTCTTGACGACTTGATGACGTAACCTGCACTCAGTGTGCACTGTCCCAATTCCGCCTTTTTTGCACGCTTGTAACCTGCGCACTCAAACCCTTGCATGCACTTCAAACAAATGCACACTTCGTAGAGGTGTGTAGGGTGCAGTGTGGGTATTGGGATTGAGCCTGAGTCAGTGTCATACACTTGCAGCTTGAGGGAGTTAGTGCAACAGTTAGATATGACTGCAGTATTGACCAATCAGATCGCAGGTAGAGCAGCTGCTTCTCGCTGCATACGAAACAAAGTAGTGAAGAAGATGACAAAGTCTGGGATCGCGTCTTAAATTCAGACAGAAGACATGTTTTATTGTCGATGGTAGAGACAGCACGAACACAGCACACGATCAACAGATACAATAGAATGCAAGTGTATTATACAGAGCGGAGGCATGGAGACCTCCAATCAGCAGCTTCCACGGTGTGCTTGTAGCTTGGCCTTCAGATAGACACAACAAGGGAAAAGTACTGGCTTCTGCACATTGATAGAATGATGAGTTTAACTTTAACAAAAAGTTGCTTCAAAGTGTTATGAAATCTCACATTCCCCCCTCTGGTCATACATTCACGTGTGACCATCAGGATCGATAAACAGCAACATAACATCATAACTCAATACTTCAAAAACTCATAAACTCGGTACTTCACTCGGTACCTCAAAAAACTCAGAACTCGGAATACTTCAAAAACTCAGAAAACTCATAAAACATGTTCAGATCTTTCATAAAACTTGTCAACAATCTTCAGTAAAATACCAAACTTCATCAGTCGATGGTGGTTCCAGACATTGCTTTGAAAACAGTCTCTCCCACTTCTCTGTTGATTCCTCAGGCTGCATATGTCAGCATCTGTTGTGTCGAGCCATGAATTCTTCTGTGACGTGTCTTTCAATCACACGTTTCAGCTTTAGTGTCCAGATTCAGCAATTCAATTCAGTCCAAATGATGTCCAAATTCAGATATCCAATTGTTCCAAATCATGTCCAAATTGTGTAATCCAATTTTTCCAAATGGTGTCCATGCAAAAGAGGACGATGGTGTTGTCCATGTCTCAGCAGCTCACAGCCTGACTGGAATCAGGGGCTGTGCAGATTGTCCAAGTGTGCTGGTCCAGATGCATTCTCTTGAGGTTTCTCAGTTTTGGCTTAAAAAAAACAACACATGTTTGTGTAAAAAAAAAAGTAGTCTTCTGTTCTCTAGATGTTACAGACAAGGCCCGCATTCTTCCACCACCTGAAGAAGATGACATAGTCTGGGATCGCGTCTTTCATTCCGACAGAAGACATGTTTTATTGTCAATGGTAGAGACAGCACGAACAAAGCACACGATCACAGATACAATAGAATGCAAGTGTATTATACAGAGCAGAGGCATGGAGACCTCCAATCAGCAGCTTCCACGGTGTGCTTGTAGCTTGGCCTTCAGATAGACACAACAAGGGAAAAGTACTGGCTTCTGCACATTGATAGAATGATGAGTTTAACTTTAACAAAAGTTGCTTCAAAGTGTTATGAAATCTCACAGTAGAACAGAATAAAGTGTGTTCTCAGCGTCTGTCCTCAGCTGGGGCCCTCACGGCTCGGCTTGGGCCCTCACGGGTCAGAACTTGCTGCAGTGGTGCTGGGCCACCCTCTTGAGGAGCTCCTTCTGGTCATGCCTCAGTCGTGCCCTCCCACTGACCTCCACCCACTGCAGACGGAGCAGAGACTGATGCAGCCGGGTCACCTGGAACAAGGTCATGTGGCGGGACAAGGTCATGTGACGGAACATGGTCATGTGACGTGACACAGTGAAGTGGGTGGAGCCTAGTCAGACCCCACATCAGCTGAGGATAGAAACTCACCGCAGCGCTGATGTCGACCAGCAGGGGGCAGTCTATGTGCAGATGTATGTTCAGCACTGAGGTCTCCAGCCAGGCCTGGTCCGTGTTCTGGGGGTCGTCCACGTACCCCTCATACACTTGCAGCACCTGCAGCACAGGGTCATCAGAGGCAAAACTACAGAGCAGGGAACAAGAGCCCCCCTGAGTCTGAGGTCAGGGGTCCCTGTGTCTGCGGTCAGGGGCCCCTGTGTCTCCTTCGTACCTCTCTCTTCTCAGACAGTAGCTCGCTGATCTTCTCACATACTTTCGGTCCCAGAGTTTTGGTCAAACTCAGAGGGAGACGTCCGTCAGCGTCCACATGTCCCTGTGGACAGGAGTCATCACAGTGTGTTTGTTATTACTGCATTTCCTGTATTTGAACAGTTTGATCTCATCTGTTGTCGGCAAATCCACAAAAAACATTGATTTTAATTGAATTAGTTAGCAGCAGGAGCTACAGTCTTTAGTTGTATTTGACTCATACAATATTTATCAGAGGATCCATCACTGTTTCTATCAACAGAGAAAATAAAGTTCAGAGAGAAGTGGGAAGACAGTGAGAATGGAGCTGCAGGAGCGCACGGAGGAAATCCTCCTCCAGAGGAACACTTCTGTCACACTCACCCCTGGGAACGTGAGGCACTTCTGATTCCGGTCTTGTTGCACCAGGAACTCCAGTTCTGAGCAGGCGCTGTCTCTCCATCTGTGGACACACACACACACACACACATACACAGACACACAAGCACATGCACACAGACACAGACACACAAGCACACGCACACAGACACACAAATGGAAAAGTTCTTTCCTCATTCCTCTCCTCATTCCTCCCCCTCCCTCCTCCTCCCCCCTCTGTGATCTCACCGTGTGATGATGAGGTCCATGCTGCGGTTGGGTCCCAGGTGCGGCAGCTTTCCCCGTCCCCTGAGCCCCGTCCTCCCTCCAGGGTTCCTGCTCAAACACAGTCAGACTCAAAGACCTCGACCAACGAGACTTTAGAGATGAGGGGACATTACCTGTGGACGTCAGCCTTCTCTTCTGGTCTGCAAGAAGGACACAAGTGTCATGTGACATTACTCTACACAAGTATCTTCCCCTCGCCTCAGCATTGACACACATGTGGAACGGAGCTTTGGGCCAAGAGCCAACTTTTGGACCATCCTGTAAAGGTGTTTTCGAGAGGTAAGAAGATACTATATGTTAGCATTGGCTAATTCTTATTCCGGGTCCACCCCCATCGGCCCGGGGTGGTATTGCAAGCATGTCAGCGCACGTCATTTTGGCCACTTTTGAGCTGGGACCCGCCCCCACTGGGTGGGACAGGAGTAGTGCAGGAGAGAGGACATACCCCTGTGTTCTGCCCCCTGTGGTGGGACAGGAGTAGTGCAGGAGAGAGGACATACCCCTGTGGTCTGCCCCCTGTGGTGGGACAGGTGTAGTGCAGGAGAGAGGACATACCCCTGTTTGCAGCCCCCTGTGGTGGGACAGGTGTAGTGCAGGAGAGGACATACCCCTGTGTGCTGCCCCCTGTGGTGGGACAGGAGTAGTGCGGCGGGTTGTAGGAGCTGAAGCTGACCTACGACACACAACAAGTGTCCAATAAGAACTTTCAGCCGTTTACAATGTTTCACATCTGTCTGAATCTGTGAGCCTCAGACTGCAGCTCGAGCTTCTCCTCCTCAGGTTCAGAGTGGTCCTTACCTCCCAGGGAACTCCTCCTCAGGTACACAGTTGTCCTTACCTCCCAGGGAACTCCTCCTCAGGTACACAGTTGTCCTTACCTCCCAGGGGCCTCCTCCTCAGGTACAGAGTGGTCCTTACCTCCCAGGCGCCTCCTCGTCAGGTACAGAGTGGTCCTCACTTCCCAGGGGCCTCCTCCTCAGGTACAGAGTGGTCCTTACCTCCCAGGGGACCTTCTCCTCTGGGACAGGGAAGCGTGTGACCCGGCTCCCCGGGTACTGGAGCTCCCGCGCCATCACGTGGAACACCTCCTCTCTGTCTGCAGTGTTGGAGACACCGTCCACTGAGTCCTCAGGCATGAGATCTGTGGAAAGGACATGACCAGGGTCAGGGGTCAGGGTCAGAATTAACCAGAATCAGGGTCAGGGGTCAAGGTCAGATTTAACCAGAATCAGGGTCAGAGTTAAAAAGGGTCAGGGTTTACTCAGTGACGGAGCGTCTGAGGGTCTGAACCCAGATGGTCTCAGATTGTCCATGATCCACTGGAGAGCTCGGGCGGACTGCAGGACCTGCAGAGAGGAGAGAGATAAATAGAGATAGATTGATTTATGAGAGGAGAGAGCGGAGAGAGGGGGAGATACAGAGAGAGAGGAGAGACAGGGGAGAGACAGAGAGAGAGAGGAGAGAGAGAGAGCGAGAGGAGAGAGAGAGAGAGGAGGGAGACAGAGGGATAAGAAGAAGAGGAGAGAGAGGAGAGAGAAAAGAGAGAGGAGGGAGAGGAGAGAGAAAGAGAGGAGAGAGAGAGAGGAGAGGTTGTGGTCGGTACCTGCTCCTCCAGTCGGACCAGGCGTCTGACCACAGGTCTGGAGCTGCCGTCTTCCTCTTGGTCCTGTCTCTCACACAGACTGGACACTCTACAGGACAGAGGGACACCACATATTCACATATAACAGTGTTTCTCAACCCGACTCTAGCATGTTATACATCATTGTAAAACTATTTTCCTCAAGCATATCCTTTATGGTATTCTACACTGAACCCAGAACTATTATTATTAATAATAATCAATCACAATTATTATTTTTGGTGCAATTTTGATTCAGTGCATTGGGATACACGTCCTTTTGAAGAATAAGTAGCGCAGGTTTGTAATTTGAGTAATTTTATTTTAGATCGAGTTTTTGAGCAACACGGAAGATAATTTATTTTGGGACCAGATTGTGACCAATCACAGCGGACCACTGGCTCCCACTTTCTTGAAAAAATCTACAGGTCTCTCGTTAGCGCGCACAGACAGCTGAGTTAGACGAGCATCATGGCGGAGGCAAACCTCAAACTTCCCATGTCTTCGTTACCAGTCACTGCTTATACAGAAAAACAGCCATCCAAAAGAATGTCCCTGCAAGAACGGGGAGAGAGTTTTAAAGACCGGGAGAGAGGCACCTGGAAGCGGATGAGACTACTTTAGTCTCACAATATATTATACAATATATTCACATATAAACGCCATAAACCACCGATTTAAGCCCAAAATGTTGAGTGAGAAACAAACGACTACTGAGCTAGAGGAGTTTACTTTTACATGTGAATCCATATGGCTCAGTCAGTCTCTCTGGGGGCTCTAACCCAAGCTCTAGCCCTCCTGAGGCCCCTCACTTGAGAGCAGTGTCTGTGATCCTCTGCTCCATGCTCTGCATCTGCTGCTGCTTCAGGGACATCAGGTACCGGTCCTTCATCAGGGCCTCCCACGACAGCAGCTCCTCCTCCTCCAACTGTGACAGCTCTTGTTCTGTGGAGACAGAGGATGAGGACAGGACTGGGTCAGGGTTAGGACTCTGCTCTAGACCCAGGACTCTGGTCTAGACCCTGGACTTTGCTCTAGACCAGACATGGGCAAACTTTTCCCCCTGAGGGCCACATTGGAAATTAGGTCTGGATCCCGACAGCCGTCTGATATGCCAATGTTTTTCTCAGGCTTCATTTTAAAACATATATTTATTGTTTATTTGAAAAAATAGCTCTGCACACAGCACAGAGGGGGATTGTATGATGTTTAAACTGAAATCACCCCACTGTGGGATGAATAAATGTTCTTAATCCTAATCTCTCTTGATCTTAATCTATATAAATTGTGGAGGGCTCAGGGGCCTGATAGAAGCATCCAAAGGGCTGCATCTGGCCCACGGGCCGGGGTTTGCGAACAACTGCTCTAGACCCTAGACTCTGACCCTGGACTTTGCTCTAGACCCTGGACTCTGACCCTGGACTCTGCTCTAGACCCTGAGAGATGAGATGAGATGATACTTTATTATCTCATAATGGAGAAATTCAGTTCGCTGAATAAACGTCAAGGCTGGCTGCATACTTAATTTCTGCGCTCCTTATGACAGATATTTAACAGCAGAGAGCAAAACAAACATATATTTCAGACAAATATTATTTGGAGAGACACAGTACAATGCGGATCATGTGGAGATTCAGCAGATTCTTGATCCTTTGTCTTTTGAGAATCAGTGAGGGTCAGGGTCAGGATCATAGACTGTATATATTAACGGACAGAGTCACGCCTATCTCCGCCGTTCATAGGAGTTGGCCATGAAAAGTGCTTTCATGGAGCAATCCAAGATGGCCGCGAGTGGTCCCGCCCACAAGAAAATTGTGAAAAAACGCATCTGCGCATGCATCAGCTGGCGCAGCTCCATTCATTTGAACGAGAGACTTGAAAAATTCCCCGCGAGTAAACTAGAGTGGACCAAAAAAATCCACCCCCCTCAGCATTGACACACATGTGGAACGGAGCTTTGGGCCAAGAGCCAACTTTTGGTCCATCCTGTAAAGACGTTTTTGAGAGGTCTGCTAACGCTATATGTTAGCATTGGCTAATTCTTCTTCTGGGTCCACCCCCAACGGCCCGGGGTGGTATTGCAAGCATGTCAGCGCACGTCATTTTGGCCACTTTTGAGCTGGGACCTTCCCCCACTGGTCAGGATCCGGGTCCGGGGTCAGGGTCCCACACAGACTCACTGAAGGCGGTGCTGGCCGGGGCAGGTCTCCTCAGTACGAGCCGCAGGAGGAGGTACAGGTGACTGAGGAGGATGAAGGGGGGAGGGGCGACCGGGCGGCTGTGGTACTCCTTTATCAACTCGTATCTCTGGAACTTCCAAATACGGTCAGTGTTGTCCTGCACTTCCTGGAAGGTGAAGCTGTAACACAGACCATAGAACGTGATCACATGGTCACGGGGTCACATGGTTATGGGTGTCACATGGTACTTACTTGAAGATGGCGATCAGCAGGTTGAGCAGCAGGATGTTGGCAAACAGCAGGTAAACACAGAGCATCAGGATCGTCAGCCACTCGGGGAACGCCGGCAGGTCGTCCTCAGTCAGCACCGGACAGCGCGGTTTGTGAGGGTCATTGCCGTCTAGACTGCAGGAGGTGATGTCGAAGTCTGTGTCTGACTCATCAGGAGACATCAGAGAGATATCAGAGAGACCACCGTGACCAACCAGACTTTTCTGTCCTTTCAGTTGCCTCACCAATAGGCCTAACCCATAGAAGACTGCCCACCCCCCTCTTCCCCCTCTTCCCCCTCCTCTCTCTCCCCTCTCTCACTGTCAATGTTGCTGGGCACGTCTCCAAAGATGGTGAGGTAGGGCTCGTAGACCGCCCCCCGGAGGATCCACCCAAGTCGGTCTTCGTTGTGGATCAGGATCCCCTGTTTGGCCACGCCATAGGCCACCACCCAGATGCTCAGCAAGAACATGAAGAAGAACATGTCCCTCATCTGCAGAAGAACAAGAAGAAGAAAAATAAGAAAGAGAATAAGTGAGAGTTGTTCTAGGCCAGGGTGAGTGTAGCAAGCAGCACAGAGACATTTCATGTCCTAAAGTTTATGAGACAGACAATAACACATGACTAGTTCAGTTTGGTTCAGTTTGGGACCAGGACCAGGACCAGATCTGAGTAGCAAATAGGGAGCAATGTGTGTCCAGTCCTTAGCGGAGCCACCAGGGGGCAGTGTGTGTCTCTACAGTCTTCAGAGGAGTCACCAGGGGGCAGTGTGTGTTTGTACAGTCCTCAGAGGAGCCACCAGGGGGCAGTGTGTGTTTGTACAGTCCTCAGAGGAGCCACCAGGGGGCAGTGTGTCCTCACCATCCTCTTGACGATGATGATCTTTGGGCCCAGAGTTCTGCTGATGGTGAAGATCGCCATGAGACGCAGACAGAACACGATGAAGTCAATGCAGAGAAGGATTTTACCAGCATAAAACAGACCAGCGGTCAACCTGGGAGAAGAAGACATTTATCAACCTCTGTCGTGGATCTACAGCATGGATCTATAATAATACCTGGATAGGGTATTACTAGCTTATAGCTGTCCCACCCATGGGCACAGGGGGCGCCCGTGGTACTGCAGACTAAATTCACGTGGGCTACCCAGAAAAAAAGTCCCATAGAACTCAGCTGATAGAAAACATACAGCCCTTTAGTGTTCCTTTTTTTCTTCTTAAATCCTGCGGTTTTCTTTAAATCCACACTTTACTGCCACAAACTCTGCTCCTTTCCTTCCCGCTCTGGCTCTGCTCTAGCTCTGCTCTGATCAGCTCTGATTGGTCAAAGCGCGACCAAAACCCTCTGTGCACGTGCATGAGAGCCAGACACGCGTATTTGGCGCAAAGCATCATGGGAGCTCATCCACTGCGCAGAACCGGGAGGACCAGACGATGCCCAAATATGAGCAATTTCCCGTCATCTTTCGGTCCCCGTGAAGTCCCATGCGCTACTGAGCACAAGTCATTAATTTGAATACGGCGCCATCTTGGATCACCGGGGCTTGATCTACAGCCTCAGTCCTGGGGGACTGACAGATTTGGCCCTGTCCCAAATCTGAGGGCCCTCCAGGTGTGAGTGCCCTCACCAGAAAAGTGCCTTCCCATAGAGGAGTGCCCTCGCAGGATTTTCTCCCTAAGAATTGATGCATATCTCAGAAATGCTGCACACGTCGTTTATATTTTCAGTGATTTCATGTACTAACACTTTTACAAATGTTGTTAGTGTTGTTTGAGGTTTCTGCACTGTTAAGAAATGTTATGTGTATTATCATATTAATAAATGTGTGTAGATTAGTAGGGTCTAGTCAAGTTAACCAACTCATGCATTGAGGGCGGCGAAGAATGCAGAATTCTTTCAGCCCCCAGGCAAGAGTGAAAGACGAGAAGAGTAAACAAGCAGGAAGCCAGAAAACATCTGTGTTGAGTTGGTCTCAGACAAGAAGACACTTCTGATGGATGAGAAGATTGTTAACCTAGAGTTCAATAGGTCATATTGTCACATGTGTTTTGCACATAGGTTTGTTCTATATGAAGCGGGCTGTTGGAATAACAAGGGAATTGTTTAGAGAAGGAGATTTATGCCTGGCCAACGACAGCAGCCATGAGATTCCATACCTAATATGGAAGAAGCTATAGGTTGGAATGTGTGAATCCCTTTTTCTCCAGGCAGAGGAGAATGTGGAGGAGGAGAATCCAAGACCAGACCAAGACCAGACCAGAGTCCAGACCGAGACCAGGAACTGGCTGATACGACACGCCCCTTCTGCACATTATACTTATACTGATTTTGGTGATGTTTGAGAGTCAGTCAGACAGGGTGAGCCCATAGGGAAAGAGAGCAGGCATAGTTAGGATAGGAGCTTTTTGAATTTCTGTATCTGATTGTAAAGATAGCTTAAATACAGATGTTTAACTTGGAAATCTTCATCTTGTTTTCTGCATCAAATTTTGACACACGCCCAAAGGTTTTTTTAGACACCCCTGAATCTAGGGGACAATATGCAAATGACGCAGCAAACGTGTTCCACGTCATACACATTATCGATGTGTCTGATTTCACCACAGTTAAGATCTGACACAGATATGACTTTATGAAACAAAGTATTTATTAAAATGAGACGTTTTTAATTCGATGTCATATGAAGATTTGCTATAATTAGGTACATAACTGCTGCACATAACACACTCATAGACAGACGAACACACACGCACACAGACACACATGTACACACACAGAGGCAGACACACACATGCACACAGACAGACGCATGTACAAATACACAGAGACAGACACATGTACGCACACGCACAGAGACAGACACATGTACATACACGTACGGGCACAGAGACGTAGCACACAGAGAAAGACGAGTACAGCCGCGGATAAAGTAAACTGTGTCGAAGCGATGCTCTGAACTACAGTACATCATGGATCTATAATAATAACATGGATCTATAATAATGACATGGATCTATAATAATGACATGGATCTATAATAATAACATGGATCTATAATAATAACATGGAGCTATAATAATGACATGGATCTATAATAATAACATGCACCACGTCTCTGAAGCCTCAGTGAACGCCACACGCTGTTGCCGCTTCGAGAGCAACATCTTGGTTTGCTTTGGCTGCTTTAAAAGTTAAAATACTAACAAATTAAGACACAAATGTCACTTTTAATGCAATTTGAGGCGAGATGTTGATGGTTCCGTGTTGTCATATGTGGGTTAGTGAGTAAGAGTTTCGTGTAAAGTTTGTTTTAAGCAGTCCACTGCTCCTGTGAAACTACACTGCTAGTGTACCCAAATCGGATTCGCGCATGCGTAGAAACCCGCCAGAATGGGGAAAAAACTCAATCTAATTAAATATTTTGTTTGAATATATACAATCTATGGTTTGAACACACTATTGTTTATCATATTGAATACAGTACGATACATGCATTAAATTTAGGGCTGTCAAAATGATCGCGTTAACTCACGTTAATTATATTTTTCATTAACCCGTAAAAAAAAATTAACGCATTTACGCATGTCCGAATGACCCGCCCATTTATCCATGCATCAGAGCAGGTAGGCCCTCTGGGAATTCATATTTTAAAATAATACGCGCATGACCGCGGGGCTGTTGTTTGCTGTGGACTGAAGTCCGCCTCCTCCGCGGCCGCTCTGGTTGTGAGCCGCTAACAACACGGCTGTGAGCGGCTGTGAGTGAATGGCGCCACGGTAACATGGTCATATAAGACTATACACGCCACAAAACTATTGTCTGCATGTTGTGTTCGTGTCTTTGCAACCTGTGGGTAACCTGTGCACGCAAATACACCTCGAACGTGTCCTGTATCCTCCTGAAACTAAACTAAACTTGCTGAATTAAAGCTGGGGTATGTAAATTTCCCCCTTTCAATACCAGCTCATTTTGGTTGTGCCCAAAGCAAAAGGTTGTGAATCAAACAGATTTAAGTACATTTGGTCTGAATGACATGTGTCATTACATTTGATACTCTCATTTAACTTCAATTGGAGTGGATTTGAAATAGAATGTTAAAAATGCAATTAATCGTGAGTTAACTCACCATTTTTGTGTGATTAATCAACGAAAAAATTGTATTTAATTTTTTAAAAATTATTTCCATTATCATCCCGACAGACCAGTCACAGGACTACGTCAGTAAAATTACGTATGCAGCAGTCAACTCAGGGACTGCTGTCATAACAGCAGCAGTGTAAGTTTGTGTAAGCCCTCAGTCGTACAGGGATTAGTCAAAGCAAAGGAAGGTTTCTCACCCATCATCTGTACTTCTTAGCAGGTTTTCCCGACATTTCGTCCTCAATCCAAAGGACTTCTTCAGGGAATGAATTCTCAGACCGCGCGTTGGAGATTTATAACCTATGGGTGTGGTTAGCCACACCCTAATCCTGATACTAACCCATAAACAATCTAAGGTCTGCTTGATGTAGAGGGGAGCAGGTCTAACGACCCTGCTGAGGCTAACGACCCTAACTCATTAGCATGTCACAGACCTATTGTCTGCTGGGATGCTCAAGTGGAGTGCAGGTCTCACCCCTCCTAACTCATTAGCATGTCACTGACCTTGTCCCAAGTTAGGGCGTTGTTTTTAGGATGTTGTCATAGATGCGAGGCAAAACAAATCTTAACCCTCCTCCTCTGTTAAGAGAAGGTTTTTGTTTCTTCACAAAAATGGCTTCTTTCACTCCTCTCTCAAACCAATTCTTCTCCCGAGCTGGAATTTTAACCTCTGTCTCATCCACCGTGTGGTTGGAGGCCTTGAGGTGGAGATGAACAGCCGACTGTGGCCCACTAGAGTTTTCTCTACGATGTTGGTAAAGTCGTTTCTGTAGAGTTTGTTTGGTTTCTCCAATATAGTGGGCAGTGCACTCCTCTTCACTACATTTAATTGAATACACCACATTGCTCTGTTTGTGTCTGGGTGTTTTGTCTTTGGGATGCACTAATTTCTGTCTTAACGTGTTGAAAGGTTTGAAATACACAGGGATTTTGTGTTGCCTAAAGATTCTTTGTAGTTTCTCTGAAACTCCCGCCACATACGGTAAGGACACCCCTCTCCTCCTACTTTCTTCTGTCTGTTGGACTGTGTCTCTGGCCTTTCTCGTCCTTTGGGCTTTAGTAAAAGACCACTTGGGGTAGCCACATCTGGAAAGTGCTCTCTGAATATGTTTGGTTTCTCTGTTCTTTCCCTCCGAGCTTGTGGGGACCTGGTGGGCTCGGTGTTGAAGCGTTCTAATGACCCCGAGTTGTGTTGTAGCGGATGATTTGAATCAAAGGCCAGGTACTGGTCAGTGTGAGTGGACTTTCTGAAGACCTCAGTCTCTAATTGTCCGTTCTCAAGTATGATGACCTTACAATCTAGAAAGGCGAGTTCACTCTCCTTAGCATCCTGACGAGTGAAATTTATATGTTCTGAAAATGGTTCCACTTCCTGTTTCTTTAACTTAACCCATGTATCGTCTACATATCGAAACCAATGGCTAGGCCCTGTCCCTTGGTAAGAGACCAGGGCTTGTTCCTCCAGTTTCTCCATATACAGATTGGCCACTATAGGAGAGACTGGGGAGCCCATCGCACAGCCATGAATCTGTCTAAAGAAGGTGCCTCTAAATTGGAAATACATGAAGACACATTTCAAGTATTTCACAGATGTGGTCAGCTGTTAGTTTCGTTCTCTCCCCTAGTGTGGCGTCTTTCTGTAGGCTTTCTCTTACAGCCTCCACCGCCTCTGTAATAGGGACCGACGTAAAGAGCGATGTCACATCAAACGAGACCATTGTCTCATTTGTGTCAAACTGAAGGTGTTTGATTGTATTTACAAATTCTTTTGTGCAGCAGTGTAGTTTCACAGGATCAGTGGACTGCTTAAAACAAACTTTACACAAAACTCTTACTCTTAGAACACACATATCACAACGTGGAGCCATCAACATCTCGCTTCAAATTGCATTAAAAGTGACATTCGTGTTTTAATTTGTTCGTATTTTAACTTCTAAAGCAATTTGCGGACTTCATGTCCGCCATCTTGGATTGCTTCGGCTCCCATGAGACGCGCATGCGCAGGTTTGCATTACATCATTAACAGCTGAGGCAGATCATCTCGACGGGCAGACCAACTCGACAGAACACCAGACCACACTTGATTGCAAGGGTGGTTTTTAAGAGTCTGAGGGTCCTCGCCTCTTCTCCCTAAGTATTGGGACACCCTAAAACCCCCGCGGGCACGCACAAAATCTAGGGCAAGGGTGCTTTTTAAGAGCAAGGGTGAGAATTGGGTCGGGCCCTAGGTCTTCAGTTCAACACTAACCTGAAGACCAGGCCGACGATGAACAGAATGATTGACAGCACGTCTAAGATATTCCACAAGTCGTTGATGTATATTTGAGCCTTTTTCCGAAATCCAAATCCGTCAGAGTCAGAGGTCAACTGCAACAGAGGTCAGAGGTCAGTTTAGGTCTAACACATTATTCTCAGGCCTCCTGCTGGGATACTGAGGAGCACACGGACTGGCCTCCTGCTGGGATACTGAGGAGCACAGGGACTGGCCTCCTGCTAGGATACTGAGTAGCAGAGGGACAGGCCTCCTGCTGGGATACTGAGGAGCACAGGGACTGGCCTCCTGTTGGCACAAAGTCAGGGGAGGCAGCTAAAATCTGGAACAGTCTTCTTGCTAATGTGAGACATTAGGCTTCAAAACATGGGGACATACAAAGAAATACAAATATTGAGACAACATGAAACAATACCATATGTGTGTGTGTGTGTGTGTGTGTGTGTGTGTGTGAAAAAACATTGAAGCAGCGACAAAACATGGGGACATACAAAGAAATACAAATATTGAAAATGAATGTTTTATGAGTTAAGAGATACTCCAGCCTCCACCTTCTTTGCCTGTTATCTGCTGTCTCTATGGATTGTGTGTGTGTGTGTGAGTGTCTAAGATGCATTAAAAAGGACATGATTGGAGTGGCCTTAAGGCCAGAAGGTTGTGGGTTCAATTCCCACCTCTGCACCTTCTCCACCGACTCCCACTGATGACTGCTGTCGTTGTGTCCTTGGGCAAGACACTTAACCCAACTTTGCCCAAAGCCCCCACTGAAAGATCAAGGCTATGCTCACACTCAGAGAGCAGCCGTCCTCCTGTGGACTCACCACCTGCAGAGGGTCAGTGAGGGGCTGGTGCTATGAGACTTGGGTGGCATCTCTGATTGCCACCCCCCTGACCCAGAAATGGATTAAAGGGAAGAAAATGGATGGATGGATGGATGGATGATTGGAGTGTTGGAGCAGGGGAACTGCTTTACTGTAAGTTCTCCTCATGTGTCCTGAATCCCTTGCGATGTATGTATATGTTTATTTATTTTTCCCTTGAGTTTCTATTTCTTAGTGTGTGGTGCATTAAAAATACAAAGGAGGTGGCTGGGATTAGGGCTGTGGTGAAATTAGTTGATAACCAGTGAAAAAAAAAATTAAAAATAAGGGAGTGTGAGATATAAGCAACATATGATAGAAGGTTAAAGTGTATGTAATGTTTTTTTTGGATAGCAATGAAGAGTGCAGGTCGGCGTGTTTGTTTTTCTTGTCCTGTTGTGATGTGAGTGGCTTTATTGATAATTATAACCAAAAAATGTGCTATGAATGATGGCCATGTTTCATTGAAGGCTTATATATGCCCCTTTCTGTGGGATATATTTTTTTCTGTTGAGATATGGTCTATGAATAGGTTTGTCCAATGAGTGATATACATAGGTTTTTATTTTTCCAATTTTGGAATATTATTTTCTTGGCGATGGTTAGAGAGATGAGTAGGGAGTCATGGTGTTTACTTATGAGGTTTGTTTGAGTAGTGTCTCCTAGAAGACACAGAGCGGGGTTTAATGGGATTCTGCAGCCCAAGATTGTGGAGAGTTTGTCCGTGACGGAAATCCAGAAGGTGTGTACCGGTTGACAGTCCCAAGTGGCATGAAGGTATGTATCTGTGCTCCCTGAAGTGCATTGTGGGCATGTGTCGGTGTCTGTGAAACCCATTTTTTTTAAACGGCTTTGTGTAAGGTTCGTTCTATGGATTGTTCGATATTGTATGAGTTGTAAATTATCGTATGTTGTTATGAAGGAGTTTCTACAGATGTGGTTCCAGAAGTCAGGGTTGGGAGAGATGTCCAGGTCCTTTTCCCATTTGACAGAAGGCAGTGTTAGTGGATTGTGAATTGTTACTATTATTTTGTAGAGTTTTGAAATTAATCTTTTTGTATTGGTTATGTTTAGAATGTGATTAGTCGATGGGTGTAGCATGTTTTGTGTTAGACTGATTTTACTTTTGATTAAATTATTGAGTTGTTGGTATTGAAGAAATTGTTCTCTCCCCACCCCGTATCTCTGGATAACTGCGGTGAATGACATGAATGTATTGTTTTCAAACAGGTGGTGAAGGTGAGAGATGCCCTTTTGCTGCCAGAGTGGGAAGTGAATGGGGGAATTGTGTAGTTGAAAGTAAGGGTTGTGCCAAATAGGGGTGTTTTTACATGGTGATAGTGAGGAGTTGGTGATTTTGTTCATTTTCCACCAGGCTGTCAGAGTTGTGGAGAGTCTTGAGCTGCAGAATACCATGAATGCGGAGTTAGGGGGAGTATTGTGGATTTAGTCCAGTTTATTGTGTAGTTAGAGACGGAGGAGAAGTTTCTTTTATGGATGATTGTGGTTTTTCCTAAGTATAGAGGAAGTCGTCGGCATACAGGCTAATTTTATGATTTGCACCACCATTATGGATTCCGTATATATTTAAATTATTTCTTATTGCTACAGCCAGGGGTTCAATGAATAAGGCAAAGAGGGAAGGAGAGAGTGGGTATCCCTGTCTGGTTCCTTGGTGCAGTGTGAAGTGTGGTGAGGTCATCCCATTTGTGGTTACTGTGGCTCTTGGTGCAGTGTATAGTGCCTGTATCCAGTGGATGAACGACTCTCCAAACCAGAATCTTTGTAATGTATTGAGGAGGAAATGCCAATTGACCTTGTCAAATGCCTTTTCTGCGTCTAAGGATAAGATAACAGTTTTAGTTTTTGTTTGTTGTGCGACATTGACTAGGTTGAAAAGTTTTCTGAGATGGTCTGATGCGTGCCTGTTTTGTGTCTTGTGGCGAGTGTTTTGGTTTTGAGTTTGAGGTCTTTGTTGATTAATGACAGTGGGCAATAACTGGAGAGGTCTGTTAGGTCTTTATTTTATTTTGGAATAAGTGTGATAACTGCTGTGTTCATGTGAGGTGATTTTTTTGGAGGTTGTTTTAATTTCTGATATGACTCTCATTAAGAGTGGAGATAGAATCTCCCAGAAGTGTTTATAATATTCTGCTGGGAATCCGTCTGATCCTGGTGACTTATTGTTTGGCATTTTGCTTAAGGCTTTATGCATTTCGTTTAAGATGAATGGTGTTTCTAATATATTGCTTGTTGTGATGTAAGTGATGGTAGGTTAATATTAGATCGAAAATTATTTATTGCGGATGTGTCAGGTGTGTTGTCGCATGAATATAACTTATTGTAATATTGTTGGAAAATATTGTTTATTTCTTGTGGGTCATGTGTTATAGTGCCGGAATTATCTTGAATTGATGTAATGATTGCTTTCTCTCTTTTGTGTTGTAGAAGATTTGCTAACAGTTTACTATTTTTGTTGTTATAGTGAAATTGCTCATATTTTAATTGTTGAATAAGAAAATTGTTTTTTAGTGTAACTATTTCATTGATCCGTTCTTTGGCTTCATTAATTTCCTTTAGTGTTTGTTCATCTTGATATGAGGAGTATTGTTGAGTTAATAGTTTAATTCTTTCTTCCAGAGTGTCTTCCAGGATTTGTTGTTTCCGTTTTTTGTGTGATGAATAAGATATTATTGTACCTCGGATGACTGTTTTTCCTGTTTCCCAGAGGAGTGATGGAGATATGTCTGGAGAGTCGTTCACCTCCAGAAAAGATGCTCATTCTCTCCAAATGAGTGCAGAGAAGTCTGTGTCTTCTATGTGTTCAAGCGCCATCTTGAGTGTGATTTGGAGATTTTACTTGCTTGTGTGGATATTGTTAAAGAGACTGGTGCATGGTCACTGATCATTATAGGGTGTATTGTGCTTTCTATTGTGTATTTGGTTACTGATTAGAAACAGATCCAGTCTGGAGAAAGTTCTGTGATGCGGAGAAAAGTATATTCCTGAATTGTAGGATTCCTCATTCTCCAACCATCATTAAGTCCATAATTATGCATATACTGTTTGATTATTTCTGTTGAGTGGGTGTGTCTTATGCTGCCAGATGTGCTTGAGCAATCTAAAGTGGGATTAAGAACAGTGTTTATGTCTCCTGCAAGGATGATGTTAGAATGGTTTTGTAAAGTGGACAGGCTTCTTCTCTGACGATGTTTAAATCTTTCCTCTTCTTAATGTTTATGATTTAACGTCTCGTGTAATTTGGCTGTGAAGCAGTTTATGTTGGACATAAAAAAGAAAAACTTTAATGTTCCAAAGGAAATTTACTGTGGGATACAAACATAGAGCTGACCCCATAAACATAGAGCTAACCTAACAGAGAGCTGACCTCATAAACATAGAGCTAACCTAACATTGAGCTAACGCCATAAACGTAGAGCTGACCTAACATAGAGCGAACCCCATAAACATAGAGCTGACTCAACATAGAGCGAACCCCATAAACATAGAGCTGACTCAACATAGAGCTAACCCCATAAACGTAGAGCTAACCTGTCGGAGCTCCTCACAGACCAGGGAGAAGAGCCAGACGTAGAGCAGGATCTCGAGTCCTGACGGAGTGTTCTGGAAGTCCACCATGAGGACCACAGAGAACAGACCCAGGAAGCAGAAGTACGACACGATGTTCAGGAAGAACTTGACCTGAGGCGAGCTGTACAGAGACACGAGGCGAGTCCAGGCGTCCAGAGGCTGCAGGTTCTGAGCCGACAGGCTGAGTAGAGACAGGTCTTCACTCCTTATGTGTGTGTGTGGGTGTGTGTGTATATGTGTAATTATGTGTCTTCACTACTTGTGTGTGGTTATTGTCTGTGTATATGTGTGTGTGTGTGTCTATGTGTGTATGTGTGTAGTGCGTGTGCGTACTTACGTGTCTTCACTCCTCATGTGCGGGACGCTGCCTGTGACCGACTGTAGAGACTTCATCTCCTCTTTGGTGTCGGCTTCTCTTTGAATCAGTTCATCTTGTCTGAGGAGGTCAGAGGACAACATCAGGAGCAGTACCTGTGCTCAGTACCTGTGGTCAGTACTCAGTACCTGGGCTCAGTACCTGTGGTCAGTACCTGTGCTCAGTACCTGAAGTCCAGGACATGGAGGTAGATGAGAGGGCAGAAGAAAACACACAGCAGGACTCTCCACAAAGGGTTTGAAACAGAGAGATGTCCACACCAGATCTGAGTCAGGAGAGACTACACAACACACATACACACACCCACACACGCACACACACACACATACACACAAGACAAGGCAAGGCAAGGCTATTTATATAGCACAATTCATACACAAGGCAATTCAAAGTACTGAACAAAACAAGAAAGCATTAAAATCATAAATAATCACAGAACATTAAAAAGAAAGCTAAAAATATAAAATCCCTCAGTTGTATGCACAGCTAAACAGAACTGTCTTTAACCTGGTTTAAAACATTGTCATTGAGAAGGCCTGTCTCACATCTTCAGGAAGACTGTTCCAGACTTTAGCAGCATGAATCTGAAAAGCAGCCTCCTCATGTTTAGTTCTGACTCTGGGCACTAACAGGAGTTCAGTCCCTGTGCTCCTCAGAGTCCGGGCTGGTTCGTATGGTACTAACATGTCACTAATATATTTTGGTGCGAGGCCATGGAGAGACTTGTACACAAGCAGAGCTGTTTTAAAGTCTATTCTCTGAGCCACAGGAAGCCAGTGCAGAGACCTGAGAACTGAACTAATGTGGTCGTACTTCCTGGTTCTAGTCAGGACTCGAGCTGCTGCATTTTGAATGTACTGCAGCTGTTTTACAGCCTGTTTGGACAGACCTGTGAGCAGGCCATTGCAGTAGTCTAACCTACTGGAGACAAATGCATGGATAAGAATCTCCAAGTCTGCTCTAGACACTATGTTTTTGATCTTGGCAATGTTTTTTAGATGGTAAAAATCTGCTGATGTTACTGATTTGATGTGGCTATTAAAATTTAAGTCTGAGTCCAGTATTACCCCTAGATTTCTGACCTTGTTTGAAGGTTTTAGGGAGAGAGACTGTAGGTGACAGATGACGCTCTCTCTTTGTTTCTGGGGACCAAAGACAATCATTTCAGTTTTGTCTGCGGTTAGCTGAAGGAAGCTGTTTTGCATCCACTCACAGATCTGTTGGATACAGTGAAGGAGTGAGTCCACTGGTCCATGTTCTCCTGCAGTCAGTGAGACATAGATCTGAGTGTCGTCTGCATAGTTGTGATAGGACACTTTGTTTCTGCGTATTAACTGACCTAACGGCAGCATGTAGAGATTGAACAGAAGAGGTCGCAGGATCGACCCCTGTGGTTCTCCACAGGTCAGGGCCATATGATCTGAGAAACAGTTTCCAATCTCCACAAAGTACTTCCTGTCCTCAAGGTAAGACCTAAACCACCTTAGGGCGGTGCCAGCGACGCCAACCCAGTCCTCTAATCTCTGTAAGAGAATCTCATGAGCTGCGTTTCCATTGAGCATCAAATTTCGAAATTTGAATTTGCGCATCATAAAATGTCTAATGGAAACGCGCAAATTTCGAATAAACCACAGTTTTTCGATAAAAAGTTAATGCGCTTAAAATCGGTGGTTTTTTGGACGTATCGAAATTAAGTTTTTCGCAAAACGGCAATGGAAACACTTATTTCGATATAGCGGAGGAAGCCGAGCTGAGCTTTATTCAGTGAGTTTTGGCTGCGCTTCGTGTGGAGACTTGGGAGATACGTGGGAGAGGCATGGGGGAGAGACGGGGAAGAGACGGGGGAGAGGCATGGGGGAGAGACGGGGGAGAGACGGGGGAGAGACGGGGAAGAGACGGGGGGAGGCATGGGGGAGAGACGGGGGAGAGGCATGGGGGAGAGACGGGGGAGAGGCATGGGGGAGAGACGGGGAAGAGATGGGGGAGAGGCATGGGGGAGAGACGGGGGAGAGACGGGGAAGAGACGGGGGAGAGGCATGGGGGAGAGACGGGGGAGAGGCATGGGGGAGAGACGGGGGAGACAGGCAAGACCCGTGTCTATGGTTCTGTGCGCGCGTCTATGGTCCGCGCTCGGTACATGACCACGCGCGTTCGCGGAGTTGTCAAAGCAGCCACAGTTTCTCCCGGGGTCAGAGAGGATGAGAGCCGCAGCAGAAGTCAAGACATTAATATATATCACGTAAATCAAAGTGTTGTTTACTTCTGTTGCCATGTTGACGTACTAGAAACTAGTGAATAAACGCGCGAAAATAGTGTATACTTATTCGAATATGTCTTAATGGAAACGGCCGCTTTTGCGAATTACAGGTTTTTCGAATTTTGAAATGTATCGAAAAAGTTTTTGCGCATTATTCAATGGAAACGCAGCTATTGTCGACGGTGTCAAAGGCAGCACTCAGATCTAACAAGATTAAGATTGAGACTTTGTCTGCGTCAGTGTTCAGCCGGATATCGTTTGTAACCTTAACGAGAGCAGTCTCAGTGCTGTGGTGGGGTCTAAAGCTGGACTGAAACATATCAAATGAGTTGTTGATTATAAGAAATCTAGTAAGCTGTAGGTAGACAACTTTCTCAAGGACTTTCCCCATAAATGGCAGATTTGAGATGGGATGATAGTTGTTAAGTACCGTAGCATCCAGACTGCTCTTTTTTAGCAGGGGCCTGATGACTGCAGTTTTCAGGGCCTTTGGGAATATTCCAGAATGAAGGGACATGTTTACTATCTGTGTGAGTGAAGGTAACAGACTGCTCAGAACAGACTTCAGAAATCTAGTGGGTAGTACATCCAAGCTGCATGTGGAGGAGCTCAAACTGGAGATTATCTCTTGGACAGTTTGATCATTTACAGGTGCAAAGTGAGTTAACTCAGAGAGCCTTTTTGGCTGTTGGATGGTTATCTGTGGATTGGAGACAATGGCGTTTTTGATGCCTTGAACCTTGTCATTGAAAAAATTTGCAAACTCATTGCATTTACGTTTGGAAGTAAGCTCTAATGGCATTTGAACATGGGGGTTAGTAGATAGTATTGACACCAGTATTGAGCAAGTGGTGAAAAGGTGGTACTGCACCCTGAACTCCCCAGAATAGGGACGGCGCTATTGAGCAAGTGGTGAAAGGTGTTACTGCACTGTATTTTTCAAAGAGGTGTCATTTTGAATGTTTAATGAGTTACCCTCTGTTGACCCTGATGTGTAAGTGTGGTTCACAGTTGTCTAAAGTGATTTATTGAGCAGCGCTTAGCGTAACACCTGCGTAGGGTTACACCGTGCTCATTCTAAAAACAAACAGTGATGCCCTAGTTAGTAAGACACGTCAATAACTAATCAATCTACAGGGAGGACCAGCCCCAGACCTGTCAACCTATAGCAAACATGATGAAGGGGTGGGAGGACTATGGTGAGCCCCCGCCCTCTAAGAAGTTTTCAATGGATCAAACGCATTACGTTTGTCTACGTGAAGGTTATACAATATGTCTAATACAGGTAAGTTATTAATATAAAATTTTTCAGTATTCATATTAAATGTTTTAATTTAGTTTATCTCTAGGAAAGGGTCGTTTATTGACAGATTATGACACCGATGAGGATTTAACCCCATCACCAAAAGTTACGAGAGGTCTACAGCCAACGGATGAAATATGGTAAGATCTCATTTTCCTTAAGGTCTTAACCAGATGTTTAATTTTTTTTTTTTTTCATTTTATACAGCACAGCTAAATTAACGAGCAAGTCAATGCCCCTGATGCATAAATTACGACAAGTAAATCAACGTAAAGCAAGTCTAGCTCCGTAAGTCCGTACATATACAAACTAATTTTATATAACATGCTTTATGAACGGTGTAAATCTTTTTCTAGAGCAATTCTATCACGCTGTAACGGACACAAAATACCTAATCACGGGGATGATGATGATGATGATAAAAGGTGAGTTACATATTATAATTTTTATAATGATAGAGGTTATAATTTTCTTCTCACTATTTTTAGCTCATCAGGGGGTGACGAAGCCACAGAGAATCAACCCCCTGTAAACCAGCATTTCAACATACTGGATTTTACAACACTGGACATTGATGCCATTATAGGAGATGAAGGTGTAGCAAACAACTATCAAGATGTATTAAACGCTGGATCACCATTCCCGGACCGTGAGGAATACTTGGAGCAAATATCTGGACATACTACTACTCCTGATGCAGCAAAAGGGCCTATAACGAATGCTCTAGCACCACCCAAGGTGAATACTTTGCAAGAAAACACACATCTGTTAAACACCTGTAGTGATGTACGTGAAAAAGCGTTGGTGAAAACAGAGCTCTCCAACATACGTGAGGAAGTGGAATCAAACAAGGCGCGTTGTGTTAGTGCAGAGCTACATACAAACAGGACTCTATCAACTTTGAACCAGCAACTAAAACACAGCGAGGCCCGTGTACTTAACGAAATAGATCAGTTAAAGATACAAGTTCACCATCTTCAAACCGAGCACGTAAAAGTTACTAAACAAGTGTGGGTGTTACAAAATCAGCGTACAAACGCTACTATACACAGAGCTAAACTCCTGGCAAGGGGCCAACGAGCCCAACTACAGACACGCGCGCTTCAAAGAGAGGTCCTACAATTACAAACTCAATACACGAAAGCCGCTATACACACCCGTCAATTAGAAACAAAAACCTTACAGGGGGAAATACAAATTCAAAATTTGACTACTGAAATCAAGCATCTTAAAAACACGGGAAACGTAATAGCAGATAGAATTGAACAAGTGGATAACCAAGCGAACACGTCTATAGCAGCTGCTATCGAGCAAATCAATGAAAACACTACTCATTTGAAAGCCATCGAAAATGCATACAATCCTGAAACACACTAAAAGGCCTAACGCTACCTCACCCTCCCAACTTCCGAAAAAAATAAGAATTAATTATGTCCCGCGCTCTAACACTTATACATGTGTGCAACGTTTAATTCGTACTAATTATCAAACAACGCGTAACACTGATCGTTTAATTCGTACTAATTATCAAACAACGCGTAGCACGTATCCGTGTATTGATCGACTAATTCGCACAAATCATCAAAGTACGTCCCATGCTGCAGAACGGTTAATAGCACCGACCCATGTCATAGCTGAAAGGCCTCCGCTACCAGACATTAACTCAAATACAGATAATGTTGTTAACCAGTCAATAAGTAAAGATACTATTCAACCCGCAATACAACGCCCTGCAAACAACTGTGTAGGTATAAATAGTCAAACTATAGAAATGGATACACAAAATGACGAGTCACCTAGACCCAGCTCTGTTTTAAGTCCACACAACAATGTTACAACTGTTTCAAGAAATTGTATAGTTCACACAGAGACAGACCCCTTGGGGGGCAATGCTAATGAAATAGAGGGTAACGAGACCATACAAGTAGGGGGTGTTGTACAGATTACTGAACAAAGTGATATCCCCGCTAACGTACAATCAGGTGGGGAGGTCCATGTTAACGTAATACCAGAGTTTAATACCACGGTAATGTCTGAGCACATTGATTTTCGTGGTATAGATCCTACAGATACCGTAAAGGCTTGTGAAAGAGTAAATGAAAAATTAACAGGGTTAATAACCCACGCTGTAAACAATACAGAGCAAGGATGTGTGATGAATGTTGCATTACGAGGGCCCTCGCTTAGTGACGATATTCAAGTTATTTTGAACTCTGACAATGACTACAACGTTGACCATTTTTTAGAGGAAGTGGAAAAAGTGTTACAAAGTAACGATAAGTCCATTATAGAAGATGAAATGACATTAATAGTGAGTATAGCACATTCACAAAGTGGTGGTGGT